CCACTTAGTAAAATAATCCACCGCGACCAGCAAGAACTTGCATTGCCCTTTAGCGAGTGGAAACGGTCCTAATATATCCATTCCCCATATGGCAAACGGCCATGGGGAAGTGATGCTGTGTAGCTGCTCAGCTGATGCATGTATCAAATTGCCATGCTTTTGGCATTGGATGCATTTTTTGACGAATTCCATTTAATCAGATTTGAGTGTCGGCTAATAATAGCGGCCCGAAGGACCTTTGTTGCTAAAGTTCTCCCTCCCGAATGAGAGCCGCAGATTCCTTCATGCACTTCCCGCAACACATAATTGGCCTCTTCATTGTTTAAACACTTGAGTAAAGGAGACGAGAAACCTCTTTGAAAAAGCTCCCCTCCTATAGCAGAATATCTCGCAGCTTGGGTTCTTAACTTTTTGGCTGCCGAAGGACATGTCGGCACGACTCCTTCAATGATGAATCGTAATATGTCGGTCATCCATGTTGCCGACTGCTCGGAGACTGATAAGCATTCAACTACCTCAATGCTTGGGGTTGAGAGTTCCAAATGAAGGGTGGTTCGAAGCTATCCTGGTTTCCGATTGCTGGTTGCCAGTCTGGCTAGCTGATCTGCCCTGTCATTATATTCGCGGGGAGTGTGCTTCACCGATACTTGGTCAAAATGTTGGCACATGTTTTGAAAAGTATGATAGTATTTTAACAGTTGGGCATCCTTAACCTGAAAATGCCTCGTATTCGGCTTGATTATTTGAGGCTTTGAAAGCGAAACGAAGGGATTGCTCAAGTGCCAAGCCTGTTGGTCCTTCGAGAATTATTCCCGCCCCACTTCCTTGGTTATTAGACGAACCGTCAACACGAAGTACCCATTGATCATTCTCAAAATGGCCCATCGGTTGCAACTCATTGACGAAGTCGACTAGGCACTGAGATTTGATCGGTCCTCTTGGTTCAAACGCTATGTCAAATTCAGATAACTCTACAGACCAGGCCATCATTCGTCCTGCTAGCTCGGGTTTTCGTAGGACCTTGGCAATGGGACAATCAGTCCGAACGATAACCTTATGGCTGTGAAAATACTGCCGAAGACGTCATGCTGTGTGGACCAAGCCGAGTGCCATCTTCTCGAGTAGTTGGTATCTTTTTTCGGCATCTTGTAGCATTCGACTCACGAAATATACCGGCTTCTGAGATTCTTTTTCTTGCACGAGGACGGCGCTGATTGCCTCATTAGAAACACACAAATACACTATCATGTTGAGGCTTGGATCGGGTTTTGAAAGTATCGGGGGTGTGCCGAGTCGATGTTTGAGGATCTTGAATGATTCTTCACACTCTGCAGTCCAAGTGAACTTATTGGCATTTTTTAACAACCCGAGGATGGGCTTAGCAGTTTCGGCTAGGCAGGGAAGGAACCGAGAAAGAGACGTGAGTCGTCCGGATAACACTTGAACTTCTTTAATATTATGCGGGCATCGCATGCCGATGACCGATTGACATTTATCCGGGTTAGCTTCAATACCTCTGGCAGATAGCATGAATCCAAGAAACTTACCCCCCGCTATACCGAAGACACATTTTTCAGGGTTCAGTCTCATGTCATGCTTTCAGACTTGCTTGAAAACTTCTTCAAGATCACTTTGGTGGGTGCCGAGGTCATCTGATTTGACAACCATATCATCAACATAAACTTCCAAGTTTCAGCCGATCTGATGTTTGAAAATTTTGTCCATAAGTCGTTGGTACGTTGCTCCGGCGTTTTTTAGGCCGAAGGGCATGACTCGGTAGCAGTAGTTGGCCGAGTCCGTGATGAAAGCTGTTTTCTCTTCGTACTGCGGGTGCATGCGTATTTGATTGTAGCCCGAGTAAGCATCCAAGAAAGTCAATAAACGATGTCCAAACGCCCCATCAACCAAGCGGTCAATGTTAGGTAGTGGATAGGCATCTTTCGGGCATGCCTTGTTGAAATTGGTATAATCTGTGCACATTCGCCATTTGCCGCTTGGCTTTTTAACCATGACTACATTGGCTAGCCATGTGGTGTACTGTACTTCCCTAATGAAGCGGGCTTGCAATAACATGGCTACTTCTAACTCAACAGCAGCTTTTCTCTCCGATCCCATTTTCCTTTTTCTTTGTGCCACGGGTTTAGCGGCCGAGCAGATCGATAGCCTGTGACACATAAAGCTCGGATCTATTCCAGGCATGTCGGACGGAGTCCAGGCAAACAAGTCTTTGTTCGAGGCAATTACTTTACTCAATTCAAGTCTTTCGGTGTCTGACAAACCACTGTCGATGTAGGTGACTTGAGATGCCTGTTTTCCGATTTGTATTGGGATCTTTTCTTCCATCGGTTCTGCCCTTTCATCATTCATTCGTGGATCGAGGTCACATAGTGAAGCCGATTCTGGAGAAGGGGTGATCGCATGAACCCTCCTTGATTTTGCTGATTTTTCTTGAACAGGTGGTACGCGCAAGCTAGCAAAATAACACTCCCGAGCTGCCTTTTGATCAGCGTGTATGGTGAGAATGTTTCCTTTGGCCGATGGGAACTTCATAGCCAGATGCGGGGTTGACACAATTGCCCCCAGGGCATTCAATGATGGCCGACCAAGTAGTATGTTATAAGATGTGTTAGCTTGGACGACGATATATTTCACCTGGATATCTCGGTGCTCCCTTTCGTCGAAACAAAACCGAGTAGAGAGTTTAATGAATCCCTTGGTGTTGATCCTTTCCCCTGCAAAACCAACCAGCGGCTCATTGTAGGGGGTTAGCTCTTCTTCGGGGATACCGAGCTGTACGAAAGTGTTCCAATATAGAATATCAGCCGAACTGCCCTGATCAATTAGTGTCTTCTTCACAATACAATTGCGTATTTCTACGCTGATGACCATAGGATCATCCTGAACTGGATCAATGCCCTTAAAATCCTCATCAGTGAATGTGATAGTGGGCAATCGCCGAGTCACCCGTTGCTCAAGAGCATTCACCGATCGAACAACTCGCAAATGTCGTTTTTGAGCCGATGATGTCGACCCGCCACCGGCAAAACCCCCGGCAATCGTGTTGATTACCCGACGATGCGTTGTATGAGGGTCCTATTTCCGATCCCTTGATCGGTTGCGCTCGCGGCGATGCCTATCTGAGTGGTCCGACCTGTCTTGCTGCCGAGGTTGGTATATTGACTGATGGCGAGATGAGTTTGGCTGATCCACGAAATTTCTGAGTTGCCCTTGTTTGATCAAATCTTCAATTTTATCTCTCAACGCCGTGCACTCTTCGGTCGAATGTCCGCGATTGCGGTGATACTTGCAAGATTTGTTGACATCGGCGCGGGGCGGTGTTGAGGCTCTGTTTGGGACTGCTAACACTTCTGAGGCGAGTGCTTGTTCAAGCACAACGGCTCGGCTTGCATTGAGTGGTGTGTAATGGGAGTACTTCGGACCTCGCGCAGGTCGATCACGTAAGGTTAACTCTTTACCTCGCCCCCTGTATGGTTGTTCTGGTTGCTTCTCAAGTTTTCTACCCTATTCGGCTCGGGCCTGATTGCGATACTCTGCCAATTCTTCCATCTGCATGTATTTATCTACCCACCTTCGTAGGTCATTCATGTCCGAAGGAGGTTTCTTGCAGATGTTATTAACAAATGGTCCAGGTTTCAAAGCTGTTGTGAGATGGTGGAGCGCTACAGCCGGATTAAGATCTCGGATCTCCAAGGTTGCCTTGTTGAACCGATCCATGAAAGTTCGAAGCGACTCCTTCTTGTCTTGCCGAAGGCTAACCAGCGACAAGGACGTCAAACTGTGAGGGCGACTTGTTGCAAACTGAATAGTAAAGTGGGACGACAAAGTGTTGAACGAGTCAATGGAATTGGGGGGAAGCCGAGTGAACCAACTCAAGGCCCTGCCCTTGAGGGATGTTGGAAAAATCCAACACAACGCGGCATCATCCGTGGTGCTCAAAGTTACCTGCGTTAAGAAAACATCCAAATGTTCGTTAGGATCTGTTGTACCATCATATTTGTCAATAGGCAGAGATTTCCAATTGTCCATTAAGGGGAGTTGCATAATAGAGGGGGTGAAAGGATGTCGGTGCGATCCGATAGTTGCTACATCTGCAGGACGACCAACTGTGGGGAGGGCCGAAGGGAACTTCTTGGGTGCTGCTGCCGAAGCATGGGGAACCGAGGTGTGGATCGCCTGGGACTGATAAGACCCTTGAGTTTGCGAGTTTGCCGCTTGGGAGGGTTTCCATGACATGTTATCCTTTTTTAAGGCCTTGTTCTCGGCTTTCAAGGCCGCAAGTTCCCTTGCATCTTTTTCTCGTTGCTGTTTCATGATCTCCATTTCCTGCTTTAACACCCGAACAACTTCAGAAAGATCCGTTTCGTCAACAACCTCAACATGTTCTTCATTCTCGTGTTGGTGGTCCTGCGTATTTGTTCTCCTAGTTATCGCCATGACTTAATCCAATTAATCTTCGAACTCTCCGTTCGGCCCCACGGTGGGCGCCAAATGTACCTGTCTGATGGGCACACTAAGTCTTCTAGTAGTCCAAAGGCCGAACGAGAACTCCGATCCGACACGTGGATGAAGGGGTTGGTACCTGCAAAAGGCACTCCAACGCTCAAGTCAGGACAAACACAAATATCTAGGGTAATTAATGAACAGTGACGTTACCTTTTGACCTGAGCTATTTATACTGACATTTATGGGCCCTGGACTCCATGGGCCCTGCAACATATTTACCGTATTAGGTAATACACTTTAATCGACTAATTAATCCCTAATCTCTGATTAAGAATACCAAGTGATGATAGGCCGATCCAGGTGGCCGATTGACGTTCGGCTACCTGGTCCTGCCATTCGGCGGCTGATAGGGTGGTGGTCGAACCCTCCTACCTGTACACTGATGACTTTGGGCACAAATGTGCCGGTGTCGCATTTGCAACTGTTCATTCTATTTTTATTTGCTCAATCTTACGATGAATTTTTGTTGATTTCAGGTTAGGTGCTTGTATCCGAAGAGTACCATGGGAAAATCTTACCGTGTCTTTTGAGGGATTTCTTTTTTCATTTCGGTGAATTTGTGATCGCGCTTGATACATTATCTTAATAGCTAGATACAAATTTTCATCTTGTTTTGTTGGATGATCTTTTATGGTTAGTGTTTCGTGTTCATGTTCAAAGTTCAAACATTCGATTATGATATGCATTATTTTTGGTGCTGCTTTCCTAATTGCTATAACTCAATCCCATTTCAGCTTATAAATTCCTTTATTTTATTTTGGCCTCAAAATTGGCTGAATTGCCTTAACTATGCATTTTATTTGAAAATAAAAATATATTGTTAATGTGCATAATTAGCGCAGCACAATAATTTTCAAAGTGCTAATCGAATGACATTTTTGTGGTTTGAAAAGTTAAAATGGCGTGTGTGTCTATAACATATAAATGGCTTTTGTTCTTTTTTATAGTAATTGGGGCTGGGGCAAAAACTTTTGACCATTTACTCGCAAAATTAATCTTGCTATGATTTAATTTTCCATTTTTTTAATTTAGTACTGTGTATGTGAAATGATACAATTGTTTTACATTTTACGTAATTCAGAATAATTTCTGCGTAAAATTGCAATTAGCTATTTACAATATTTCTCTGACAATGGGTTTTGCTTTTGCCTTTTCCTTTGATTAGTATTAGTTTATTTTGTCTCCATTTTGTACTTTTCAAAAGAAACGTTTTTTCCTCCGAAATAACGCTCCTAAAGCCGTTTCGAATTATAAAAAATTAAATAAAATAATTATTTAATAATATGATTACTGAAAGGTGTCAAAATTTTAAAAGTTTGGAGACTGTTTCGAATTATGCAAAATTAACATAAATTATAAAACATTAAATTAAATAATATTTTTTAATATAATTATTAAAAGGTGTCAAAACTTTATTTCGGAGGCTGTGTCGATGTTTTGTTTGGTGGACGTAGCAATCCTCTTTTCAAAAAGGATAATAGTTAAAATACGGTTTTTTAAAACTCAAAAATATCATGAACAAAGTATTTTTTAAAGTAATTTTTTAAGTTTATAAAATTATTTTTAAAATGATTAATTTAAGCAAATATGTATTTTAATTAAAATAAATTTAAACTAATGGACTCATTGAATATTTACTGACGAATCATACATCAGTCATCAATTATTGATAAGAAAATGAATAAATTATAATAATGTTTCTTGAAGTTGTGTGAAAATATAATAACAATATTTGATTTTTTTTTGGTAATGTTTACATTAACCTTCTTTAAAAAAGTTATAGCGTATTATTTTTAAAAATAATTAAAGAGTTATAATGTAATATTTTTTAAATGATTAAAAAGTTAATGTAACGAATAATGAATGCTAATGTAATAATTTTTTTTTCAAACAATTAAAGGTTACTTTTTTTGACTGAACAATTAAAGATCATTATTTATTATAAAAGTAAATAATTGAAATTATTTATATAATTTTTTAAAATGCCAATGTAATTTACTGTTGGAAAATTAAACCCATATGTTATGTGTTGAAAGAAAAATACCCGATTTTCAAAATCGTCAAATTAACACGAATGAAACCCCAAGCGTGTGGTTCAGCGGTAGGGGTTGATCCACGCTTAAGCAAGGTCAGGAGTTCGAATTCTGCTGTCGGTATCCACGGACGAAAAAAAAAAAATTAACACAAATGAACATAAATTAAAAAAAGAAAAAGACAGAAAGGAATTGGTTGAATCCTTACCTGGTTCTGCTGTCCGTAAAATCAAAGCTAAGCTATTAGGAAGTGAGTTATGTTAATCACTGTCTCAAAAATAATAATAAAAATAAGAGTGAATTTTAATTAAAAAATAATTTAATTTTTTTTTTTTCGTCCCTGGAGTATCCACCGCCGACAGCAGTGACTAATCTCCTCGCTACGTTGGAGGCACCTCAAAGGGTGGGATAGCTGGCCCCAAGATTTATCGCGGCTGCATACATAAGGCAGGATTCGAACCCCTAACCTTGCTTAAGCGTGGATCAACCCCTACCGCTGAACAACACGCTTGAGGTTATTTAATTTAATATTATTAATGTATGGTCATCTTAATATTATTTTTCTAAAATATTGATTAATTTCTTAATCCTTACTTTGAGAAAATTATAAACAAATTTGTCATCAATTTAATCACATATCTTGCTTTATTAGAGCATCTACAATGGGAGTTGCTTATAAGCAACTCCCAACCACTTTAAATAGGTCCCACTGTGCCACGTCACTCATAAACAACCCATACTATATTTTTACAATTTTTACTCCAATGCAAATTGCTTATAAGCATCCCAACGTCTCTTTTTTTTTTTTTATTTCGTTCAAGTCTCACTTTTCACTTTCTCTTTCTCATTCTCCGTTTCTCACCTTCCCTTTAACGTCTCTTTTTCTTCTCTCTTATTCTCACCCTTCACTCTCTCTCTCTCAAAGTTTCACCATGAAAGACCCACCCTGGTGAGACGTGTGGGCGGTTGAGGAGTCCCGGGCGGAGGTCTGGTTGGGCGGAGCTGTGGACGGAGCTAAGGCTGTCTGGTCGGGCGGAGAGGCGCGCACCAGAGGAGGTTTGATTGGACGGAGCGGCCGGCGCCAGAGGAGATCTGGTCGGACAATTTTCGCGCGACGAAGGACCCCGGAGACGCGCGTGCTGCGAACGATTTTCGCCACCACCGCCATCCTCATGGCCGGCTTCGACTACCACACCACCACCGTCGTGCGCGGCCGGCTTCCATAACCACGCCGCCCCAGACGTGCTGCCGCTGCTCAAAACATGGCCATCGGAGGGAGTCCATTGAGAGGGAGAACTAGGTGTGGAAGTTTTATCTGTTTTTTGTTTGCAAAAACAGTCACTGTCATGTTCCACCTAGGATGAACAACAGCCAATCAAACCCTTTCATTTTAATTTTCAGAGTGTAAGCACTGTTGCTTCTCCAAGCAACGGTGCTAAAAATTTTTGGACTTGTTTTGCCACCTAGGATAGCTCCAGTGGAGATTTCTTATAAGCAACATTGCTTATTTTTAAGATACACCCTAAGCACCCCCCACAGGATGTGCTCTTAGCTCATAAGGTTCTCACTCTGTTTCTCTGTCGTTTATTTTCATCATTGGAATTCAATTCTTTTTCTTTCTCTTCTCATTCTCACTCTAACCCCGCTTTATTAGTGTCAGAACCTCCTTTTTTCTTTCTTCCCCGTAGATCTCTCTCTCCTTTCGCTTTAGAGGGTCCAACTTGCTTCCAGATCTTGCGCCGATTTGGATCACTCTTTTGACTCTCTGTCTTCCAATTCTATCGCCGCCGCAGATCCGTTCTCCGATCCACGCCGTCATGGCGGCCGCCAACGCTCCGATTGCCATGCGAGAACCTCTCACCGTAAGTTCCCGTACTCTTCTTTTTCTCTCCATTCCTTAGCTCAATTCGCAGCTCCACTTCCGAACTTAACTACAGCAAATACATGCTATCTTTATAGCACAATAATAGCTATCCAAGTTTTTCAATTTACTCTTACGCTTTACTAGATTCCGATTTTCCGATTCGAGTATTCCGCGGTAGATTCGATCGGTGGCGTTGCGAACTTCGCCGCGCTACTTTACTTTCTTACTTTTGAGTTTGCGTAGATCTGGATGTGTCTTGTGCCGTGTCTGATCTCTAGAGCTAGAAATTCATTCATGAAGCTATTGCCTGTGTGTTGTGAATTGAGTGATGTGATTCGTGATTTGTGACTGCAGTTACCGAGCATTGGCATAAATCCGCAGTTCATCACCAACTATTTTTACAATTTTTTGGGTGCTCATTTGATCTTATTGCATTTTTATTTATTTTTAAAAGCCTAAATATATTTCCACTAGTAGTTTCTCTCGAGTTTAATTCTATTTTATGTTATACCAATACTAATTGTAACAAAAATAAAAATAAAAATACATTTAGACTAGAAAAAAGAGAACGGAAAGATAGTTGTGCAAAGCCCGTTTAAATAATTTGGAAACTAGGCCCAGCCCATTCCATCTCCTCGTGTCCATGTATATACTGATTCTTTGAGCCGCAAGACCTAGTTAGGGTTTTCGCTTCAGGTACTCACTCTTCTCTGAATCATCAATATCTTCTACTCATTAAGGTAAGGGAGGAGTGAGAAACCTCACTTGATGGTGTGGAAACATCTGTTGGGTAGTTGGATTGACCCCCAATCCCTTGCCTGATGCATGCTCTTAAGAACAACCACTTTTTGAATGTTTTCTATTTTCATGTTTGAGTTTTCTGTTGTGTTCCTTGACGTTTGTTGAGTGTGAATATTCGTTCAATTTCGGGAATATATAAGTTTTGATATGAATTAGAGTGCTCTGTGTGTTTCTGTGGAAAACCCTATGAAAATCAATTAAGAATATGATCTCTTAACAAAAATTAAGGTAAATTATGCAAAATTGAGTATGGATTCATGTTCTAGTTGTTATTTGGAGAATTTGTACCGATTAACTTGTTTGAAAACATGTCTAACGTGAAAAACGTAAGATTTATGTAAAGTTATAAATGTAGGTCATGTTGGGGCACTGGGCCCAGTTCTTGGGGTCGGGCGTGGATTCATGAGTGTGGGAACAAAGTTCCCAGGGACTCTCACGCCGGGTGTGTGTTGAGTCTCGTCGAGTGCGGGTCCCTTACATGGCCTACACTAGGCACATGAAGAGTTGCGTCGGGCAGGTTTCTCTGCTTTTGGTGCGGCGTTTAATTCGTCGGGCATGCTATTTCGCTTTTCGTGTGGCATTTAGTATGTTGGGTGCGAGTTAGGGCGTGCCAGGCGCGATCCCCAAGATGTTTTGTATGTTTTAAGCTATGTTTGAAGGTACAATGATGTGAGAATTGACTTATTATTGTGTTAATGCAAGTGATGTGTTTTTATGAGCATGATGAGGATGAGAAACTCTTATATGTGACTATGAGTATGATAATGTGATATGAGAACAAGTGACATGATGAGATATGACAAGTGAAATGTTAAGTCCATGAACATGTGAATGTGTGACATGCATCATATACATCTATGTGACAGGGTTCGATATGTAGTATACCATTAAGGAAGACCCTTTGGATGAAACATCTCGGAGGAGTCCTAGGGGATAACGTAGTTTGGAAGGCCCAGTTCTGCCTATTTGTGTGCATGGGGCGTATCCTGTGCGGCTTCACTATCTCGATGAGACCCTAATAGTACATCTTTCTAATTGAAAGTGTGCGATTGAACCGACATGTACTCCTAGACTATTCCAGGTATGTTGCTTTGACAACGTACCAATTGTGATATGTGATTATGAGACACATGATTAGTGCCACATGTATGCATTTATGAGTCAAGTTCATGACATTATTGCATGATAAGTGAATGTACATGTGTTCTAATGTATTTGTAACTTTAGAGTTGTGCTTGGTTATGTGTAACTTGTGTGGTATTTGTTATGATTGTGTATGTTGCCTAACATTTATTTCTAGATCTGAACCCGAGTGAGATGTTTCTCACTTCCTTGTTACTTTGTGTGTATTTTTATTGTGTAGCAGGTGATCATCGGTACGAGGATGTTGGTGATGAGGTTTAAGTCTCGTTGTGGGGTGTGTGATGATAGGACATGTGACATTAGAGCTTAGTTAGGATAAATTTAGAATGTTACTCATATTAAATTGCTTGTAGGTTTAAGAGGAGAGAAGTTGCAATTTTCAAGTGTAAGTTTCTGTCTTAAGCATAAAGTTTCCTGCAACCTTACCAACGTGGACAATGATTCATGCTCATCAAAGGAGCTCGGAAAGAGTCAACCTTTGGTTAAGATGTGTGGCATTACATCAGCTAAAGATGCTGCAATGGCAGCTGAAGCTGGTGCAAATTTTATTGGAATGATCATGTGGCCTAACTCAAAGCGTTCAGTTTCGCCTTCTGTTGCAATGGACATATCGAAAGTTGCAAGGGATTATGGAGCAGAGCCTGTGGGTGTATTTGTGGATGATGATTCAGAAACAATTCTAAGAGCTTCTGATGCAGCAAACCTTGAATTTGTGCAGGTATTTTTTTGCCTATAGTTAATGTGCTTTCCATGATAATTAAATGCTTAATTTTGTGATATTTGGACAATGCAGCTTCATGGACAAGGATCTTGGTTAGCTTTTCCATCTTTAGTTCAGGAAAATCGTGTAATATATGTTCTCCATGCAAATGAGGACGGGAGCCTTTTAAACAAAATTTCTGATGAAGAGTGTTCTCTAGTTGATTGGGTTCTTGTAGATAGTGCAAAGGGTGGAAGGTAAAGGCATACATCTTGAATGGCTCAGTGTCCATCTGCTTGTTAGATAATCTTCTTTTTCCCTTGCACGTGAATATCATAGAACTCATAAGATGTCTTTGCAGTGGTAAAGCATTCAATTGGGCCCAGTTGAGACTACCAAAAACCAAAAGCAAGTACGGTTGGCTCTTAGCAGGAGGGATCAATCCTGAGAATGTTTCTGAGGCTCTATCTACACTCAAGCCTGAAGGGGTGGATGTTAGCAGTGGCATTTGTGCATCAGATGGTATCCGTAAGGATCAATCAAGAATAGCTTCCTTCATGAATGTTGTGCATGCTTTTCAGTATTGATTCACCTTAAATTATTATGTATCTCAAGAAAGAAATGTTGTGATTTGGAAATATCCTCGTGATGGCTTGTTACAATTTTGTTTTCAAAACGAATTGTATCCCTAAAGTTCTTTCTTGGGAGTTGTTTTCTAGGCATGGGAATATTGTAAAGCTGGGTGAGAACACATGGATGCAATCTTTATATAATCAATACAAATCCGCATAAAAGAAGCTTCTTTTCCTTGTAGACACCCAATTTCATCCGAGGGCATGCAAACAACGGGACAGGACTTTAGAGGGCCCAAAAGCTCAAACAAGCTGATTTTAGAAGCCCAGAACGGGCTGTTCCAAAATTGGAACGGGCCGTTCCAATTTACAAAAAGGGCCTAAAAACTTAAATTGGAACGGGCCGTTCCAAAATTGGAGCGGGACGTTCCAAAACTAGAACGGGCTGTTTCAAAATTGGAATGGGTTGTTCTAGCCTCTTTAAAAAAGGCTAAAAGCTACATTTGGAACAGACTGTTCCCAAATTGGAACGGGCTGTTCCAAGTAACAAAAAAGGCTTAAATTCTTAAATTTGGAACGGGTCGTTCCAGAATGGCAATTATGGGTTAAAGGCGCCTCTGGAACGGGTCGTTTCGATTGCAGAACGGGCTGTTCCAATACACTAAATTAACACGTAACGACCAAATCCAGAATGGGTCGTTCCGATTTTGGAACGGGCCGTTCTGGACCCTTTCTGAAGTTTATAAATAGACTGCTTGGGTTCATTTCTTAAGACTCCAAAATTTCGTTCAGATTCCTTAGAGCTCGAAATTTCTCTTTTTCTCTCTCCCTCTCTCTTTTGTATTTCTTGAGATTTTGTGAGGCATTGTAGTGTGAAAGGTTGTCACAAAGCATCCAAAATCTCCATAGTTGATATCTAATAAAGTTTGCTACGAGGTATTACTCATCAATCTCTTGTTTTATTTAATAAAATAAATAATAATTACTCGTTAAAATATATATAAACAAACATTTTTATATATTATTTTTTAATTTACATTTTTATATGTCAAGTTACTAAATATTACTCTACTTAAGTGATAATAGATCATTAGATAATGTTAAAATTAAAATATAAAAAAAAACTCATATTTTTAAAATAAAATTGACTAAATGTCTCAATTTTAAATTAAAGAGACAAAAGTTGCAAATCGATAAATATAAAAAGACAAAAAAATACAATCTAGTCTATTTATTTAAAAATTTAAAAATAAAATAGTCATGAAAAAAAAGTGGAGATGCAACAACGATTATGAATAAATATAAAAATGTAGATCATAAGACACTAATGTAAAAGATACATAAAATTATTTTATTCAAGAAATGAAATAAAAAAATAGATTAAATAATAATTCGTAGTTACAAAGGAAAGGGTTTAAGGTAATTAATTAATTTAAATAACGAGAAAAAAATAACGAACATCCATAACATTAATAAATAAGATATCTGATTTAGTATCAAATTTTTTTAAATATTTTTGCTCTCTTAATTAATTTAGTTAACTATCTCACATTTTTTAAAGTTAACCAAAGATTTTTTTTCTTGTTATTTTTTATAGAAAAGACTCTTTTTCACTAGTAATTATTATACTTGTATTCCTCTTTGTAGTATAATTAAATTCGAAGTGTATTCGACCTCCTCTTGTTTGATTCCCGCACTGAGGCTTTTATCAGCGTTCCAAACTTTCACTATGGTTTCAGGTTTCTCCTTTTACCCATTTCATGTCACTCTCTTTTCATCCCACATGTTTGATCATTTTCCTACTTTGATTTCTGATAACTCAGCATTCGTTTGCAAAATTGTAATTAATGCTTGATGGGGAAGCATGCTCTACCAATCTCTTTGTTCTACAAGACAGTAGTTTGTTGTCTTGACAAATTCATTTATAGAGTAGGTTAGGTAATGCGTGTATTGCATAAGGTTCTGTTGCTTGGTTTCTCTGGATTTATTGCTTGGATTGACCCTTCCTGCCTCCATTCACAATTACGTCAATTTTTAGGGATTGCGAATCCCCAATTTACTTATATTCGATTTTATCATAGGCAATTGTTGTTTATACGGACATTCTTATCCTTAATTATCATAGTGCTTGTCACCAACTCATCTTCATCTTAGTCATAAAAAAGAGTGTATCGCATCTAATAAGGAGGATAGATTAGATGAAGGGTAACTCAATTGATAAGTAGAGGAAGACTAAGGAAAACTATGTGCAAAACCATCATCAATGCTTTGCCCATATGCGTAGGCATGCTTCACAATAGAATAGTATGACGGGTTTGATTCATATAGCTGACCTAATTATCTAGTGGGGAAATGCTTACTTGTTGTTGTTGTTGTTATTACAGTCATAAAAAATAGTTTTATAGACACAAGTTTTGTTCTTTATAAATGCTCAGTTTCTTTACAATTGTGATAAGGCTGTGTTATATTTTCTACGTATTTTTTCAAATTTGTCTTCAAGCGTATATCTATTTAGCATTTTCATGTTATTATCAGTGACAAAGAATTTTCCATGTACTTATGTCAAACCTTGCATTTTTGAAAAATAATTTTCCTGTTATATTTTCTCTGTTTTCTCAAATTTGTCTTGAAGCATATATCTCTTAGCATTTTCATGTTATTATCAGTGACAGAATTTTCCATTACTTATGTCAAACCCTGCACTTTTGAAAAAGAAATTCAGCTGACCTTGCAAGATCTGTTGTTCTCTTTGTACAGGTTCAATCACTGGGAGTTACTTGCAACTTAGAGCTGCAAAATTCCACCAAAGACCAATTAATGGTAGTCCAATTCTTTGTACTTATTCTGCTCTATGTCTCAATATAAGTGGAAACCAAAGTAGCATTTATCCTCATTTGGACTTAATTTCATGTCTTTGCTTGCATTGACCATGCATAGTGACCATGGTCATAATTCTTAAATGAATCAATATTCAATGAGGAGAGTTGTGTTGGAGGAATTCCACAAGAGCAGACTTAGCATACACCCTGGTATGACTAAGATGTACTAAGACCTCAAGAAGACTTTCTGGTGGTCTGGTATGAAGAGGGAGATAGTTGAATATGTGGCGGCCTGTCTGACCTGTCAGAAGGCGAAGGTGGAGCATCAGAAGCCAAGTGGTTTGATGCAGCAGATGGAGATTCCAGAATGGAAGTGAGATAGTATCACTATGGATTTTATGGTGGGGTTGCCTAGGTCAGCTAGGAATAGTGATGCTATCTGGGTGATTGTTGATACAAGTGTGCACATTTCTTGCCTGTCAACATCAAGTGGTCCTTGGAGAAGCTAACGCAGTTGTATGTGAGGAAAATAGTACGGTTGCATGGGGTGCCTTCCAGTATTATTTCAGACAGAGATCCGAGGTTCACTTCTAGATTTTGGCAGAGTCTACACCAAGCCTTAGGCACGAAGCTGAAGCTGAATTCTGCTTATCATCCGCAGACGGATGGTCAGTCAGAGAGGAAAATCCAGTCCTTGGAGGATTTGCTGAGGGCTTGTGTGTTAGACCACTTGGGTAGCTGGGAGGAGGTCCTACTGTTGGTTGAGTTCACGTACAATAATAGCTTTCATGCTAGTATTGGGATGACGCCATTTGAAGCCTTGTATGGCAGAAGATGTAGGGCTCCTCTGTGCTGGTATCAAGATGGTGAGTTAGTGGTTGTGGGACCGGAGCTGATCCTACAGACTACTGAGAAGGTGAAGATGATTCAGGAGAAGATAAAGACTGCTCAGAATAGGCAGAAATCTTATGCTGATAAAAGGCGAAAGCCTTTGGAGTTTGCTGAAGGGGAACATGTGTTTCTGAAGGTGACCCCGACTTCTGGTGTGGGTATAGCACTGAAGGCAAGAAAGTTGACACCGAGGTTTGTCGGTCCCTATCAGATAATACAGCGTGTGGGTCCGGTTGCTTATCGGTTGGATTTGCCACCGTCTCTTTCAAACCTACACGATGTATTTCATGTGTCCCATCTGAGGAAGTATATTCATGACCGTAGTCATATGGTGGAGCTGGATGATGTGCAGGTGAAGGAGAATCTGACCTTTGAGAAGTTGTCGGTAGCTGTAGTAGATCATAAGCTGAAGGAGCTGAGGGGCAAGTCTATTGCTCTGGTGAAGGTGTTGTGGGATGCAGCTACTGGTGAGGCTACTTGGGAGGTGGAGCAGCAGTGCAGGGAGCGGTATCCGTTTCTTTTCCCAAGAAAGTCTATTTTCGGGGACGAAAACTTTTGTTGTTGGGGAGGTTGTGAGACCCCATTTCTATTTTTCCTTCCCCAACTCTCTTCTCCTTCACTCAAGAACTCTCATTTCCTTTTCTCTCTTTTCCTGTGGCTGATTTCTCTCCTTGTGATTTTAGTTGCTGAGTAGGTGTTGAGAAGCTTGCGGACACACAAATTTCTTCTTCCTTCTCCGTTCACCATCTCTTTCAAGCTTCTTCTTCTTTGTCTCTTCCCGGAAGCTCAGATTTCTTCACCGAGGTAAGGAAAGTTATATTTTTGCTATGCTTTGGCTGAGAATGAGTTCTAGAAGCTCATTGTTGTTTGATGATTTGATAATTTTGGCTGAGATGGAAGGAAACTCATTTTCGGGGGTTTCGAGGTTTTGGATGAAAATCGGGATTTTCATTGATTGTGGTTGCATGTGTGACAAGGTGGTATTTTTGAACTGCTGGTTGAAAATGTGGTATTTTAAACGGATTGCATGGGCTGGAAACGTGGATTTTTGCAGGTTTTGGGCAAGATTTTCAAACTTGGGAAGTTGCTGCTGGGCATCACGCTGGGCGCCGTTCTTCGCGCCGGGCGCGTGACCACCAGGAGGCTTCATTTAGGCAAGCCCTCCGGGCGCAAAGATGTGTGCGCCGGGCGAGCTTGAGAATGTGAGCCTCTGGTTGGCCCACCCCGGGCATGATCTGGACAGCGCTGGGCGCGATATCAGTATGTGGCATGTTCTGGGGTTTCTGGTATGGCGCCGGGCACGACCCTGTCGTGCTGGGCGTGGAGACTCCTTGGGGGTCTTTACCAGAGGGGCGCTGGGCGCAATTTGAATTGTGTCAGGTGCGAGACCTTGGGAGGTCTCTACCTTCCCCGCGCTAGGCGCAGGCTTGGGCACGCCGGGCGCGTGAGACTCCTTAGAGTCTCTACCTGGGCATTCGCTGGGCGCAAATTATATTGCACCAGGCGCGGGAGAGCCTTGGGCTCTCTGGCTGGGTCACGCCGGGCGCGGGCACTCTTGCGCCAGGCGCGTTGACCCCTAGTGCTTTCTGATTGCGCCACGCCGGGCACGACTATGAGTGCGCCGGGCGCGTATGGTGATGTTGAATTGTATGCTGATAGTTGTTGCATTATGCAAAAATTGTTGATAGATGTTGTTTTATGCTGTACTAAGCTGAAATTGATGAATATGCTGTGCTAACTAGATGATAATGCTGAATAATGATGTTAAGCTGTAATAGATGTATATTGTCGTGCTGAGCGGTGCTGCTATTGATGATTTTTAAATGTTAAATTATAATATTGTTGTACTATGGACTATTGAGCTGAGTTGTGAGTAGTAAGCTATGTTGAATACTACTTAGCTATGCTGTATGCTGATTTGTTGTGCTGTGTGTTGAGCTATGTTAGCTCAGCCGTGAGTTGTTCAATTATGTTGTTTAATGTTGAGTTGTATGTTGTTATAGCCGTTAAGTCGATGTTGTTATAGCCGCTAAGTCGGTGTTGTTATTGCCATTAGAGTGGTGTTGTTATTGCTGCTATGTAGTGCTGATATTGCCGCTTTGCGATGCTGATATTGCTGTTTGTTGTGGTGTAGTATAAGCTGGTTGTTGTGCCGATAACTGTAGTTGTTTACCATTCATGTTGTTATATATGTATGTTGATTTCTTTCACTAGCTTACCCTTTGTTATTTCCATTGTGTTTGGACTGCAATGATCATACTATGTATGGGAGCAGAGCAGGGATAGGTTGGTGGCTTGTGGCAGGTCTGTAGCTAGCAGATAGAGTTGATTCCTTCTTGATGTTTTGTTGTCTTAACTACCTAGTGTAGTAGTGGTTGTACTTTTTTTTTTGTATACTTTGAATCTAGTCAGACTTGAACCTTATATATATATATATATTCTAGACCCTATATGTGCAGTGTGTAGTGACCAGCCGGGTCGTTACAACACACGTCACTTATTTTTATTGGTTTAAAAATTAGATGTATTAAAACACTCTAATTCATATGAGTACCATAGTAACTCCTAAAAAATACCTGATAACACAATTTTTTTATATATATATTTTTAATGACAAAATTGTATTTATCAAACACCATTTGTCTTCAATTATTTTTTCTTTAAATTAAATTATTTTTTCACAAGAAAATAAAAAAGATGATGTATTTGAAAATCATATACACGCATTCAAGATGTCTTTTTGTGTCTCTTTTTTGACCTTTATCTAATAGGATAAATTTTACTTTTTAAATAAGTTAAGAGGAGGTTCAAAATTTTGTTACAAAATTAAAAAGATTATTTTCAATGACTATTTTCTTCTTGATATGAAGTTCAATGAAGGGTAGTTTTAAAAAGTTTATTTTCTAAATATGAATAATTTTATTTTATTTTACTTATATGAGACCGGATAGAGTAAGGAAAAGAAACGAAAATTGATCTGGTAACCATTTCGAACCCAAAGTGAAAAAGAAAAAAAAAACTCTGGAACCTTATTCTGACAGTCAGAGTCCAACATAAAATTTTGTTTTTATTCACAAAATAAAACTTATTGGGCCAAACAAGAAGACTCAAATAGCAGCTTATTGCTCTACCTCATAACGACCCAGACAAAAACAATTAAGTGGCCATTGTGTATGTAGACATGTGACAACGTTTAGGCCCATTGGATACTGATGCTGAAACCATTTGGTGTTAATTGATCTAAGAAATTATTAGGTTTTGGGAGGAGGAACTAGGGAAAGAGATTTTAATGGGGTGAAGTGGAGAGGAGGAAAAAGAAAGGAATGAGGAGATTTTAGTTAAATATTTTGTTTGGTTATTTTGGGAGTAGGAACTATTGAAAGAGATTTTAATGGGGTGAAGTGGAGAGGAGGAAAAAGAAAGGAATGAGGAGATTTTAGTTAAATATTTTGTTTGGTTAAGAAGAGATGAGGGAAGAACTTTTAATAGAAGAAATGATAAGTAATTATTTTTCTTATTTGGTTTATAAGAAGTGAGGAAGATTTTAAAAATAATTAACTTCGTACTTATGTAATTTTGAATTTCAAAACATAAGTAGGAATATTTTAGTTATTACACTTTAAATATTTTGAATTTCTTTCTCTTTTCTTTCAATTTTTTTACTATTGGAAGAGAGCAAGAATTGAATGGAGAGAGAAATTTTACTCACTTTCATTTCACACATCTCTTCTCCTAATTGAAAATTGAACTAAACAAAAATTTATTTTCTCTCCTTCCTTACCCCCCTTCTTTTCTTCCCAACCAAATATTATGTAAATGATTGCTTCAAGGAAAATAAAAATTGCTAAAAAATGTTTTATGGAGTCAATACTATTTAAGTTTAATTTTGTATACTCAGGATAATATTTTTTAGACTTAAATATGTTTTTAGTCCATGTAATATGAGCATGTTTTGATTTTAATCCCTAAATTTATTTTTTGTTTTTCATCCCTTCAAAAAATTTGAAACTATGATTTTATTCTTTAATATTATGTGACGCTTTTTAATTACTTATATGTTGATAAAAAGGTTATGCGTCTATTCAATAATATTCACAATTATCTGTGATACTTTATCTGCTTGTGACATCTCTAATTTATTTTATAAAATCTTTAACATAAGTATTATATATATATATATATATATATATTAAATTGGTCATTAGGAATACAAAATGATAATGTTAAATTATAGAGAAAATAAAATTAAAGAAAAATATTTTATTGAGACCTAAATCAAAATTTTTTATTTTACATGACTAAAAATAAATTTTACAAATTTTAAAAAGATGAAAATTAAAAAAAAAATTACAAAGTTAAAGGTAAAATTCACTTATTCTACGAAAACTAAAAATATATTTAAATCATATTTTTATAATATCAATTGATTAGAAATAATTTTAAAGAAATTAGAAGAACTAATATAATTGAACTACTTATAGGAGATAAGAGAAGTATATGCACATTATTCGATTTTTCTAAAGAGTATCAAATTATTTTATAATTGAAACACTTGTGGTAAACTTTGATCCATGGGTCCTCGAGCTAGGATCGAGTTACACACTGAGGTTAAGTTATTCTTAGTTTTGTCAATTATATCAAAATTAAACCACAAATTTTGAAAGAAATAAAGAATTCTCTACACTCTCAATTCGCAATCTTGTAAGAATAGAAAATGCGGAAAGTTTCCACTAGCTCGTGACTTGATCTGTTCTTCCCAACCAAAATACATGTCTTTTCATGCGATTATATCTCATTCTCATTTTTAAAGTAACACTATTATTTTAAATAAGAGATATCGTGATTATTTATATATTATATAATGGCTTAGAGCAGTTATATATGACTTGGGTAATATATCTATTACCAAAAGAGTAGAATAGCAACTGTAAGCATTAATCCCAACAAAACACTTTTAGCATCCAAAGCAAAGCGTGAGTGGGTCACAAATATCCATGTCACATACATGGATAGCATACACTTTTGACTAATTCCTACATCATCAATGTTAATTTAAGGATCATTTCTCGAGGTTTAATATCACGAATCAATCATTGTATCACATACCAATTTGTGATTCAACCGATTCACCTAATTATATCTTCCCTTTTCCAAAGGGACCTACGACCTTAACACAAAGAAGGGATAAACATAACAAACGGAACCTAAATGCGAAAACAAAAGGTTGATGCAAGAAGGTGATCTAGAGAGAGAGATAACTTCTTTCCCACATAAAAGAAAAAAGACGTGGCAAACAAAAGCACCATAATATAATGAGATTTTTTTTAATTATATTTTTCTATTCACAAGATTCAAATCCAAATTTTTGTTTAAAAAATAAATAAATTAGGGTGGCTAGGAGAAATGGGTTATTGATAAAAAGGAATAATTTAAGCAATGGTGAGATAGCAAATAGCATTATTGGTGCAAAACACAACACATTCGATTCGTACTTAAAATGAGAAGCAGAAGGTGCAAGAGTGAGACCCACAAACCTTCCTGGATTCCACTCTGTCACCACTCACGGCTTCGATTAACATTTTATGCTTCCATCAAATCTGCATCTCTTTTAGGGTTCACATCCACGCTCTCTAATTATTAGTATACATGGATTTTTCTTTTGTTTTTTATCATACTTATCTGTCTAATTTCAATATGCTGAATATTACCAAATTTATACTCTTAAATTTTAATTAGTTCAATAAATTTATAAATCATTTTTAAGAGTTTTTAAATGGGTTTCTATACTTTATAATTTTTTAATTAGTCCTATACTTTATATATTAAATGGTTTAGGAACTACATATTATTGTAACACTATGTAAATCTTGAAAGAATGAATTTGTCGATTAGACTAAAAAAAAAAGTTTTAAAGTTTAATTCATTAAACTTATCTATACATATTATATATTTAAGTCTTAAGTCTAACTACAGACAACTCTTCATTTCCGAATATTATTGCACAGATTTCTTCCGCTTCAAAATCGAAGTATTTTTTCTTTATCGAGAACTTCCTTCTTCTTCTGTTTTTTTTTGTTAGCTCTAGACGGTGCAAGTTTTTAAGAAGTAAAACCAAAAGAAAAACTTCAAATGCTTAAAAAGAAAATAAAAAACTCACATAAGGAACATTTATAGCTAAATAAAAAACTTTTATCAAAGCATGTGTAAATTTTTTTTTTTTTATCGAATGTAATTTTGTTCAAATGGGATAAGATTGTTACGAGTGATAAAATTTTATTTCAAAGTATTTAATGCATTTAGATATATTAAACTCAAAACTTAAGAGCGTTAATTAAATTGAAATAATCTCTTGTCAATTAAATCATATGCATATAAAAAGTTAATACAATTATTTTGATACTTGATAAATGTAAAATAAAATAAAAAGATAGTTGTGAGGGGAAAATTGATTTTAAATAAATTAGTGTTAAGTCAAAAGACGATTTTAGATCCTTCATGTTTTATAAGTTTTAATGATAACAAATACTACATTTTTTAGTAAGAAAATGCATTGTAAAAGTTGTTTCAAATTGTATAAGATGAAGTAGTGTTTGTAAGATGAAGTAGCATATGTAAGACGAAGTTAACAAATTATTCTTAACGATCATTGTTTATTGTGACTAATGTTTTTAAATGTTCAAATGAATATTTTATACCTTAACAAATCGAAAGTTATTGTTTTAAAACTCGCATTTTGTTAAAAGTGTATAAAAACATGAATAGTAGCAGAACAAAGCACAAAGATCTCATATTTCATAGAAAAGAGGTTAAGAAAGATTGCATTCGCGCCTGCACGCTAACTTTGCTTTTTGTTGTTCCTACTTTGCTACTCTACTATGATAAGTAACTTAACCTATAAAAGATAAGAAGTACGTTTAGGTGAAAGACATTAATTGAAGCATTTAATATATAAACGAATACTTCCTCTCTCTAAAGATCAAACTAAGGAATAAAAATGAAGTAGTTCTATGAATCAGACTCTAGAGGCTACAACGATCATCTCTTTCAAAGTTACGAGACTACAAGAAAAATGTAACTTTTCGACGGAAAATTTTTTACGGATATGGATCCGTCGGAAATTTCCGACGAAATATTTTGTGGGAAATTTTCCCTCAAAAATTTCCGACGGAAATATAAATCCGTTGGAAATTTCTTATTTTTATTATTTTTAATTTCTTATTTTTAATTTATTATTTTTAATTTCTTATATATATTTGTAGTTTAAAAATTTTATATATAACTTTTAAAGGTATAAATATATATTATAATTATTTATTACAAGTTTTTTATATCTACGATTAGTATTAAAGATGAAAATAAATTA